CAGGGGTGTTGGGCACGGGGGAAGGATTGCATGGAGGGGATTGTAACCATGGTAATGAGACGATATACGATAGAATGAATGTAAAACTAATGTTCTCCCATGTAAATTATCACATAATTCACAATAAAACATTTAAGAAAAAAAAAAAGAATCTTATCCCCATCTCTTTTCACCAGACCCATCCAGACAAGATGAAAACTATTTAGTGGGGACTGTATCTTCCCCCTCACACTCTTACACTAAACTCCCTCTTGAAAACTTGTAAGCAGTCACATTGTGCCTTTATTACCCCCTCATTTTAGGCCATGCTCTTCTCTCTTGATGGTCCTAGGGTCCTCTGTTCCTGGAATGAAAGATGAACTGCTCCCCCATTTTGTTTCACGTCTTCTACCTTTACAGCTGTGAAAATCACAATTAGTCAGGATAACAGTTATTCACTATTAAATCCTAAGAATCCTCTCCCCATTCTCCCTCATCCCCTCTCACCAGACCCTCTAGACAAGAGGAAAACTATGCCGTGGGGATTCTACCATACCTCCTTCTTTCTGAAACTGAGCACATTCTTGAAAAACTTGTAAGCCAGCTACTCTATGCCTTTATAGCCCTCATTTCTGGTAGCCAGTGTCTAAGTTGCCTGTCCCTATCAATCCTGCGCCTCATTTAACATTTTACCGTTGAACCCTTCAGTATTGCAAGTTGCGGTTTGAATTTTTTCTTGAGTTCTTTCAACTTGAGAACTGCTGGGCGTCTTTTTGCCTTTTGGTTTTCTAACTCCAGGTCTTTACACATTTCATTCTAATACTTAACTTGGTTTTCTTGACTTTTGAAATTTTTCTGTTCAGCTCTGAGTTCCTCATTTCTTTCATTTGCTTTAGCATCTGTCTCTATGCTAAAGAGTAATTTTCAAAGTCTCTCCAGACATTCGTTTTTGTGTTTTCTTTCTTTCCTGTCCTTTAAAAATGATTTTTTGCTTTCTTCCTGTATGATGTTCAGGTTGTCGTCACATAATGGGTCGTTAGTGTCTAACGCATCAAATCTTTTCTTGAGATGGTCTCTAAAGTCAGGTGGGATAGATTCAAGGTCAGAGTTTGGCTCTTGTGGACTTGTTTTAAGTTTCTTCCGCTTTAACCTGAACTTGCATACAAGTAATTGATGGTCTTCTCCACAGTTGACCCCTGGCCTTGTTTTCGTAGACGATATTGAGCTTTTCTATCGTCTCTTCCTACAGAGGTAATCAATTTGACTCCTGTGTATTCCACTTAGTGAGGTCCATGTGTACAGTTATCTTTTTTTCATTTTTTAGAAAAATTCAGCAAAATAAAATTCCAGTTTATTTTTGGACAACATTGTTTCACACATACATCAAACAGGCCCAAAAAATACACAGCAACTTCATAGACCAAAAACAAGGAAAAGAAACTTTACCTTTGGCCTTTTTTAACCATCTTGTACAAACCAACTACTTATAGTACAGCTAAATACATACACAAAAAAAGTTACTGGAATGCTCGGAATAAGATTGTAATGTGTTGTTGTTGTTTTTGCTTTTTTTACACTTTTTTTTCTCCTTTGAGATTATAATGAACATGGTCACACCACAAGTAAAGTCAGAATTAGGACAGAGAATGCTCCAAAGGCTGGTTTGGTCATCTGAGATCATTAAAAATGGCTGACCCCAACAATATGTACAAAAATATAAAATGTAAATAAAAAATACAAACATTTTCCTTTTTAAACTGCTTCTAAGATAAAAAGCCAGGGCTTTGGAAGTTTGGGTTCTTGCAAATTCACCTTGTGGTTTTGTTTGGGTGGTGGTGAGCATGTGTTATCTGTGGGTGGCACTGCGCAAAGTGGGCGGGTGGGACTTTCTACTGGAAGGTGACCACGTTTAGATTCCGAGATGGGAAGTGGACAGTGAATGGGTCATGGTGGCCTTCTTTAAGCTTAACTTTCCCTTTTTGCTGTCTAGTCATCCTCCTAGGTCTTCTGCTTTTTGGTGTCAACATCCTCCTCCTCCTCATCTTCAGCTGCCCGTTTGCCCAGAGCTGCCTTGACCTCATCTTTATCTCCATCGTCTTCCTTACTATCACTTTCTTCCTCTTCCTCCTCCTCCTCATCTACCTCATTGTCAGCCTCTTGTTCCCCATTTTCCTCGTTAGCGTTCCCATCAGCGGGTGCATCTCTTCCATTTTGTTTCCTCCATAACCTCTTCCTTCTCCTTTTAGGCCTTGGTGATGATCTCAGAGCTGGTGTCCACAGCCACGTCTGACATGATGGGGCACGCTGGTGATCTGATACAGAGGATGACAAAGAGAGTGTGAGTTCGGGAACCCTGGCGAGAGAGCTGCCAGAGTCCACAGCGGCAGAGGAGGAGAACACGGTCGAGGTGGCTGTGGCGAGCAGGCAGCTGGACCCAGGAACAATGCAAAGATGGCTTTTCAGAGCAGCCGGTCTACAGTTATCTTTTCTGTTGTTGGAAAAAGGTATTTGTAATGAAAAAGTCATCAGTCTTGCAGAATTCTATCATGGTATCTCGCCAGCAATTATTTCTATCACTGAGCCCTATTTTCAACTACCGCCCTTCCTCTCTTTGTTTCCAACTTTCAGTTTCCAATCACTAGTAATCACGTACGTACATTTTGATTGCATGTTTGGTCCGTTTCAGACTGAAGAAATTGATAGACTTCTCCAGTTTCTTCATCACTGGCTTTATTGATTGGTTCATCAATTTGAATAATAGGAGTATTAACTGGACTTCCTTGTGGTGGTGGTGGTGGTTATGTGCCGTGGAGTCAGTTCTGACTCATAGCGACCCTCTGTAGGGTTTCCAAGGCTGTAAATCTTTACGGAAGCAGAAAGCCTCATCTTCCTCCTGTGGAACAGCTGGTAGTTTTGAACTGCTGACCTTCAGGTTTGCAGTCCGACCCATAACCACTACACTGCCCGGGCTCCTTGTAGGCCTATGGATATTAGCCTATCACAGACAGCGCTGTACTTCATGATAGATCTTAAACTGTACTTTCTGAAGATGAATGCAATGCATTCCTTCTCAATTTGTCATTCTGGGATTGTAAGCCGTATGATTGTCTGATTCAAAATAGTCAATACCAATTCAGCTCAGCTCAGTAATGCCTAGGATTTCCGTCCTTATGCACTCCGTGGTATTTCTGACTGCTTCCAAGTTTCTTAGATGCACACTGTGCACATCCCACTTTCTGATTATATTAAGGGGTGTTTGCAGCTGTTTCTCCTCAGTTTGACTTGTGCCCCATCCGCAAATGAAGGTCCCAAAAGTTTTGCTCCATTCACATTGCAAAAGTGTCATGTAGACCGTGTCTGACTTTATCTGGCTTCACAAAGGGGAAGGGAAAAATCAAACTGAAACTTAGCCCAAGACCAGTTCCTCTGAGGCAGAGGTGAAACCTGCCTCCACCGTCAGCCGTCTCAGCCCTAGTTAGACACGAGCCTCCCACAGCACTCTCTGCTTCTCATCTGGGATCTATCCATCCTTTCAGTGGCCTCACTTAGAACTCAGACAATACTCGTGACTGTGGGATTTATGAGGAAAGTGATCTGGGTGCAATTCAGGGTGTGAAACAAGTCTGGGCCCAGCAGTTCCCCAGTTAGGAGCCCTCTTTACTGCAGACACACCTCACTCGTCTTTAACGTCTCAGCCTTGTGACCCTTTAGCCTGTGTTGTTTCACATCCTGGACAAGTGTCATGGAGCTCTTATAGCCAGTCTGCAAATGCCCAGCGAACACGTTCTGAAAGCCAGCCTCCTTCTCGTAGGCACGGAGCATTACTCAGTGCATAGACGTAGAAGCCCCCAGCTGCTCGGCCGCGCCACGTCACTGCGTCTCCAGGCTGGAATATCAGGCTCTCTGCTCACTACTCTTTTTTCCTGTGGTTCTGGAATCATCTTTTCCTGCTTCTGGGATGGCTGCTTTTTAACCTAGCAGGTTGTCAACACGAACCAATCCCCGAGTTAGGGTCCTGTCTATCTGATTTGCATGGTTCTAGTGCTCTGGTAGGTAGTGGTTACGAATCGGGCTGTGAACTGCAAGGTCAGCAGTTCCGCGGGAGAAACATGAGGTGTTCTGCTCCCATAAAGATTTACAGCCTCGGAAACCCTGTGCAGGGTCGCTATGGGTCGGAACCGACTCCACGGCACATAACCACAACAAGTGCCAAAAGAACCAACAGATCTGTGATGGAAGAAGTGCAGCCAGAGCGCCCCCTGGAGGCCAGGATGACCAAACTTCATCTCTCATACTTTGGACATATTGTCAGGAGGGACCAGTCGCTGGAGAAGGCTATCATGTTTGGTAAGGTGGAGGGTCAGAGAGATAGAGGAAGACCTCCAGTGAGATGGATTGTCCAAGCGGTAGCATCGATGGACTCAAGTGTGGCAACAGTAGTGAGGTTGGCCCAGGATGCTATGTTGTGCATAGGGTCGCTGTGAGTCAGTACCGACTCGATGGCACCTAACAACAGCAAGTAGGAGTCCCGGGGTGGCGCTGTGGGCTAATGCGTCAGACTGCAGAGTCATTTGAACTGCAAGGTTGGTGGTTCAAGCTCACCAGCTGCTCCTTGGAAACCCTATACAGGGGTCGCTATGGGTAGGAATCGACTCAACGGCACTTAGCAACAACAACAACAGTTTGATGCTATAAGATAAGCACTGGACTACTAACTGCAAGGCTGGCCGTTTAAACCGCCCAGCCACTCCTTGGAAACCCTCCATAGGGTTGCTGTAAGTCAGAACTGAATGGACAGAACTTGGCAACAGCAACCCGATCGTTTGGTGAGCGTTAAGAAGACTTTGGCAGAGTGGTGGCTCCATGTGCTAAGCACTGGACTGCGAACCACAGGTCAGCGGTTCAAGCCAGCTAGCCTCTCTGACGGAGAAAGATGAGGCTTCTGATCTCACAAAGCTGTACAGCCTCAGAAACCCTGTACAGGGTCGCTATGAGTTGGAACCAACTCCACAGCACTTAGTAACAAAAGAAGGTGGCCTTGGATAGAATAGGTATCTATTCTATCCCGTGCCACACGTGTCATTAGGGTCATTAGGGTCAACTGTACCGTGAGGTGGCAACTCCTCCCCACTTGCTTTTTGAGTGCCTTTCAGCCTCAGGTTCATCAGGCACTATATCAGACCGTGTTCTGCTGTTCATACAGTTGGCAGTGACGTACCATTCAGAAGTGGTTCTGCCTCTCCTACTCCTAGTCTCTGGGAGCTCAGCAGAAACCTGCCCACCATGGTTGACCCTGTGGTATTTACAAATACCAATGCCATCACAGAAGCATACAAGCCGTCACAGTAGGACAGACTGACAGAGGAGTGGGAGTCAGAGACTGGGTGGGACTGTAATATAAATGAGGCGTGTGTAGCCCAGCAAGGGGGCTGAACAGTCCCTAGTAGGTCTATACTAGAAAACACAAGTGGGTGGATTAAACAGACGCACTTTTTTCTCTCATAGTTTGGGAGGCAAAAAGTCCACATTCAGAGAGGCAGATCTAGGGGACGATTTTCTCTTTTTGTCGGTTCTGGACAAAGGTCCTTGTCTCCTGTCAGCATCTGTAGGTCCCACGTTCCTTGGAGATTGCCATATGGAGGAGGTGTTTCTCTGGTTCTAAGTTCTTCACAGTGTAGGGACCCAGGTCCAAGGACACACTCCACTCCTGGGTCATCTTCCTGAGGGGCCCTAAGTCCCTCTGTGAGCAATGCTTGCCTGTTTAGTCTCTTTTATGTCTCAGATGGACTCAAGATACGACGTAACCCTGTAGGTTGCACTTGGCCTTGTAAGCATCACAGAAGTGAGGATTTACAACACAGGAGGGTCACATGGGATCACAGCGTGAAGGGTGCTTACATCATATTACATCTCATCATGGAAAGGTCATTAAAAAGATAGGCAAGAAAGAAAAGACCAAAATGGATGTCAGAAGAAAGTCTGAAACGTGTTCACGAGTGTAGAATAGTTACAGTGAATGAAAGAGATAGGAAGTCAAAAAGCTGAACAGAACATTTCAAAGTGCAGCTCAAGAAGACAAAAATCAAGTATTACAATCAAATATGCAAAAATCTCCAGTTAGAAAACCAAAAGGGAAGAACACACTCAGCATTTCTCAAGCTGAAAACCTGAAGAAAAAATTGAAGCGTAGATTTGCGATATTTAATCGTTGTTGTTATAGTTGTTATGTGCCGTGGAGTTGGTTCCGACTCATAGCGACCCTGTACAGGGTTTCCGAGGTTATAAATCTTTACGGGAGCAGAAAGCCTCATCTTTCTCCTGCGGAACAGCTGGTAGTTTCGAACTGCTGACCTTGCGGCTCACAGCCCGATTCGTAACCACTACGCTACCAGAGCTCCTTTTAATCATGATATGGTCAAAATGTTGAATGATGCAGAAAGCATCAAAAGAAGGTGGAAGGAATGCAGAGCCACTGTACCAAAGAGCTGGTAGCTGTTCAAGGCCTTGAGGAGGTAGCGTATGGTCAAGGACTGACGGGACTGAAGGAAGAAGTTCAAACTGCACTGAAGGCATTGGTGAAAAACGAAACTCCAAAACTTGATTTGCATTAGGCAGATTTCCTGCACAAGACCTTTGAAGTGATCAAGAGCAAAGATGGCAGCTTGAGGACTAAGGTGCACCTGACCCAAGCCATGGTATTTTCAGTAACCTCGTATGCATGTGAAAGTTGGATGATGAATAAGGAAGACCGTAGAAGAATTGATGAATTTGAGTTCTGGTGTTGGAGGCGAATATTGAAAGTGCCAAGAACTTCCAGAAGAACAAACAAATTTGTGTTGGAGGAAGTACAGCTAGAATGCTCCTTAGAAGCCAGGATGATAAGACTCCGTCTCTCATATTTTGGGCATATTGTCAAGAGGGATCAGTACCTGGAGAAGGAAGGACATCATGCTTGGAAAAGTGGAAGGTCAGCAAAAAAAAAAAGAGGAAGACCCCAACAAGATGGATTGACCCAGTGGCAGCACCAGTGGGCTCACACATGGCAATTGTGAGAAACTAAGATAAACAGAGAGGAAGGAGTTTGCAGCAGTGTTGTGTTGTGTTGTACGTGAGTCAGAACTGACTAGATGGAACTTAACAACAAGAATCAACAACAAGGGGTTAAACGAGCCAGCCCAGGGACGTTGACCACCAAGAAAGAAGAGCTGGAGTGGACCTGTGGTCTCTGCATTGACAACCTCCCAGACCCAGTGGTGGGGGGGAGACAGAGAGGGAAAGAGAGAGAGAGAGAGAGAGGAGAGCGAGCAAGCTGTATGGGGGATGGTGTAAGACATCAAGATCAGCTGTCATTGAGAACATCAATCTTTTCTCCATTTATATGGAT